AAACAGAGCCCACAGTGAGGGAAAGTTTCCCCAGCCCTCCCTTTCCAGCAGTGCGCCACACCTCCCTCCTGTGCCATGCATGCAGAACTCGAGCGCAACTTGAAAACTTTTGGACACCAGCTCTCTGTGCAGCTCAGATGTGACAGATGACAGGTAACCCGGAGTCAGGTCTGCAGCGCATGGCTCTGTCCTGCTCAGCACCTGAAGGTGAAAACCAAAACCAAGGAGAATGAGTTCATGTGGGTCCAGCTGGCTTTCTGGAGAGGACCATTACAGCCGCACGTTTACTGTAAGTGAGAAATAGAGTGAACACACGAACTTTCGTGTCCAATTTTAAGCTTAATGCTGTGCGCACTCGGACATGTGCGGGCTAAGAAAACGCGCACTTGGTGCATAAACGTTCTCTCGCAGCCAAATGTCTAACCAAACTTTGTATATGTGTTATGCTGAAGGTGGAGGGATGTCCGAGTGGAGAGTCCGCGGTGACCCCCAGGAAAAGGATTTACTCTGCGGAGGACCCGCGTTGCAGCAGCCGACCTCCTCCCGAGGGCGCCGGGTCGGTCTCCATCTCCGAGTCGGAGGAGAAAGGAGGCTTTTGCCAGCAGTGCCAGAAGAGGCTCTCGGAGCTGAAGAGACAGGCGCTGGCTCTGGCTGATCAAAACTCCTTAAAGGTCATTTTCTCCATTTTTAAACACATCCCAACCATTCTGAAAGTTTGAATGTTCACTAAAGCTGAGGAAGTACCTGATGAAACCTTTCTTGGGTCCTTTGGTTCTTCCTGGCCTACACCTGTTTCTCACTCTGACTCATGAAACTGTATCCTATACCAATAACCCTCCAATGTGTATTTGGAAGGTAAATTATTGCTACTTGACTTCAAATGCTGGCCTTGGATGTAAAACTGGGGCTTTTGAGAGACTGAAAGTAGCCCTTTGTTTGGCTAAACAATGCTTAACTTTTTATGTTGTGTGTGTGTGTGTGTGTGTGTGTGTGTGTGTGTGTGTGTGTGTGTGTGTGTGTGTGTGTGTGTGTGTGTGTTTGTGTGTGTTGAAGTTGTGTGGGGGGTGTCCAAGGGGGGAGCTGAAAGGAGACTGAGAAGGAAGTTCAGTCCCAATCGGCCCTTTGCTGTGTTCCTGTATGGCTGCTCCCACAATTCCCACCACTGTTAAATATAGGCTGTTGTTGTGGCGGGCCAGCTCGCCCCCTCAGGTTTGCTCTCCTTTGTTGTCCCATTTTCTTTTTTTAATTATTGTTTCTTGTAAGAAGGAGTCTCGAAGTGAGATTGGATTACAGCTCTTAATGGTTCACCCCTAATCCCACAGCACCTGATGTTCTCTCAGCAGGTGTACCAGAGACAAGGGGGCATTTTCTGTACCACCTGGGCTCTATGTGTGGTCCAGTTATTGCAGGACGTTTGGGTATCCACTCCTTAGCCTTTTGGGCTAAATCTGTTTTTAAAACTGTAGGCGCTCTGTATGGGGAAATAGAGCTGAAGACCATCCTTTTATCTCTAATTTAGACTTGTTGATGGCTAAATTGGGACTTAATGTTGGGGTAGCAAACCGTTATGCATGGGCTCCTCTTGCTGGAGGATAATAAACCCATTGTCTTTGTGAGTTTGAGCTGCTCACCTGTTGAGCCTCATGAGATGGATGCGGTTACGGATGATTGCTTCCAAATGACTTCCTCCGAGGAGAGCAGAAGGTCAACAGGGTTCATCAGGTGGTCCGTGGGTTTGTCTCATATACCTGCCAGGGTTTGGGCCTGTGTTGAGTCTGCAGTCGTCCTGGGAAAAAAAACAAGACTGTTTACTCAAGGTCACACTTCCCCACCCTCGCAATCTGCCTGCAGACTCGTTTATTTTCTGTAAAGGAAGTCGCTTGGTCCCCAGACAGAACCCCCCCCCCAGACTTCATGTATTGTTTGGTTATAGTTGTAGTAGCAAGTGGATGAAAACTCATGGAAAAGTGGGCAGTGAATGTGCTGGAGTCTACTGGAGGGAAAGTTGTGTGTGTGTGTGTGTGTGTGTGTGTGTGTGTGTGTGTGTGTGTGTGTGTGTGTGTGTGTGTGTGTGTGTGTGTGTGTGTGTATGTGTGTGTGTGTGTGTGTGTGTGTGTGTGTGTGTGTGTGTGTGTGTGTGTGTGTGTGTGTGTGTGTGTGTGTGTGTGTGTGTGTGTGTGTGTGTGTGTGTGTGTGTGTGTGTGTGTGTTTTCCTGTTTAGGTCTAGAGGAACATGCTTACAGTGAGGATGAAAGTTCCCTCCCCTCATGTCTGCACAGCTTTGAAGTAGGACTAACAGTTGTTGCAGGCAGGAGTACTTTTTACTTAAGTAAAAGTACAGATAAAGGGGTAAAAGTGTACTTAGGTAAAAGTGGAAGTATCCAAGTACTTTTTGACTTGAGTAAAAGTATTTAAGTATGCATTTTCAAATGTACTTAAGAGTTACACATAAAATTTTTTACACATGAAACATTTTAGAAAATGTAGTGGAGTAAAAGTAAAAAGTAGTACTTTGGGTGGAATAACAAAGTACTTGTACGCCACTAGTAGGAGTAAAATTCAGGGAAGTATTTGTATGCAGACTGCAAGTTCATCATTAATAGTTTTTACATTTTTCCTTTTTTCCTCGCTGACCTTCAGTTGGTAAATTTTAGCAAACGATTAAACGGCGCAAACTTCAAAAATTACCTCGTCATTTGCCACGTCTTGCTCTTACAGAGAAATGCAACTCCAAATTAAATTAGCTGTAATTATGTCCTTGAGCCACCTTTCCTTAATTTTCACAGCTTTGACACGTTTCATGATGTTCACACAGAAGGTGATAAAATATAATTAAGGACTAAAGAAGTCATTTAATAAAAGAACAGGTAGATACAAGAAAGACAACCTCTGGGACTTGATTTAATCAAGGGAATTCACCTTTTTAATTTGCATAACTAAAACCTGCAATAATGAGTGACTTCAATCGTCAGCTGGTAGACAGTCTGGATTCAGAATACTGAAGCTGCGTTTATTGTGGCTGGACACAGTGGCTAAGTTAGGCACGATTCAGGGGAAGATTACTGCATCAATCTCCTCTTCAAAGAAACCACTTGATGTTTTCATTTTGATCAAAGGACCTGTCAACATTCGCTGCGTAAGGAGCCGCATCAGACCCAGCCTCTGCCCAGGAACACAGCTTTGTAAAAGTTTGTGGCATGAAAGAATGTTGAATTGTAGGTTAATTTCATCAGTGGTGTGGAGCTGCTGCCACATGTGCGAAATTAAGCATTTTCAGCCTTTTCTTTTTGCACATTTGTCCCACTTAAATATTTCAGATTGGCAAACACATTTCCATTAAAAAGTAAATAAGGTTTGCTAAAAACTAGGGTGGGACTTGATTAAAAAATTAATCTAATTAATTGGAGGCTTTGCAATGAATTAATCTTGATTAATCGTGTTTTAATCGTTCAAGACAATTTGAGAGTTCAAGGGAAGTTCTGCTGAGGGTTACGAGATAAATGCTGGGTGAATGCTTGTCCATCCTGCTGTAATAAAGTTCACACGGATAAAGTTGCTGCCTGCCTGCTTTCTACCAACTAGAAAACATATGACAAGATTTACAGTATATGGTCTTGTAGCCCAGGCTCTGCTGTTTTGTGTGCAGCTTGATAGTATTTATTGATATATAGGGCATAAGTTGTGACAGTAAAACATTCCCAGCTCTCGGTTGGGGTGCCGCTCTGGCTCAAATTAATTAATCGTAATTAATGTGTTAAGTTCCCAATCCCTAATAAAAACTAAATACAGAAAATGTAGCATGAACTTCATGTTTATGGACAAATGTTCTCTTTCACGACTTTCTAGTAGAGAGCAGAATTCACAATTCAATCATTTTTAGCAAGTCATTCAGGTTCCAGATCATCACACTGCCACCGCTGTGTTTGACTGTTGCCATGACATTTGTTTTACAGAAAATTCAAGTTTGTTTCACAGCCTCCACAGTGTTTGACTTTTGTCTCATCAGTCCAAACGTCTTGGGGATCATGAAGATATTTTCTAGTAGACATTACCACCATCGTCTCTTCTCCTATAGTTGACTCATGACCTCTGACCTCAAACCTTACCAAGTGACACCTGTTTTAATTTGTTCTGGGTTTTTTGGATTGAGAAATTCTTCTGATCGGGTCCTGATGTGTTGGTTTTTGAGATCTTTTAGCTTACTTCATGTTGTCAGATAGGTTCCCTTAAATTAATCAGGCCTGGGTGTGATTAATCACAGTTTATTCATATGAAAAGAAGCAGAGGGGATTTCTTTTGCGCTGTTTTGGTTCAAACCTGAACAAAAACAACACATCATCACTGCATCTATTTCTATTTCATCTACGTATTGAGCAACTCAATTATAAATACAACAATATGAAACGGACTAGATTTTATTTATGCAACACGTTTGACCAAAAAACTCAAAATAGCTTAAATATTGAGAAAGAATTGAAGCAAAACAAAAACCATCAGCTAATCGTGTCTAGCATGCATTCACCATGCCCAGTGTCTTCACATGTCTTATAGATGATGCACATGTGACTATGAATAAAGCAGCATGAATTTATTTATGCAGCAAAGAGGCTTTTTGCTAGTTTATCTCTTGTTGAATTAATGAATTAGGGGAGCAGTAATTTGCACAAATGGTTCATTAGGATTCATGGTGGATTTATTTTTGTTTCACTCCTCATTTGACCCTCGACACGCTCAAATTCTGATCATCTAAGTGTTTAAAGCTGTGCTTCATTCCTTAAAGCTCTGGGAAAAGGAGATGTTGATTATATATTTAGATGGAAATGTTGTTAACCCGCCTTTGTGCATGCTCGTAGATCTGTGAAATAATCCTAACCCACAAGAAAAGATGAGCGTTGGGATTATTGTTTTATTGATTAACAGATCAGTGTGAGTTTGCTGTGTGAGAGCTTGCTCTACCATCACCGCCATATTGTTTTACACACAATCCAGGCAAGTTTCACTTTTCTCTGCTGGCTGATGTTTGACCTTCTTGTCAGTTTCCCTAACCTGTGTGGTCGATTAGCGTTTAATGTGGCCAACCTGGCCGAGAACAGGTGCGCGCTGACAATTTCCCAGCATTACAACAAGTATCTGGATGGAGTGACTGGCAGATGGATGGTAAAAAAAAAGGGCCCATTAAAATAAAGAACAAATACGTTTGCTTGTGAAACTTGAGCTGACGTAGAGCTAAAACAGAGCATTACCATATTATTCATTCACCTCTGAGCACCTGAGCCCATGAGGCTCTGTGGGTGTGTGTGTGTGTGTGTGTGTGTGTGTGTGTGTGTGTGTGTGTGTGTGTGTGTGTGTGTTTCACTGCAGAGAACACACGAGGAGATGAAAAACGAGACAGAAAAAGAAAGGAGACTCTGGGCTGCTGCTTCATCCCTGCATGCAGTGTGACTTGTGCTTTATGGCATGTGGCTGTATTAAACTGTAGAGCAATAATCTGGTGTCAAGTGGTGCAGAGACCACAAGCATCAGTCACAAGGCTCCTGTGTGTTTGAGCTGCAGCAGCCTGCAGTTGCTCTCTGCCACTTTACATCAATTCCCAGATATTATTTCCAACTACATGCAAATTTTTGTTTAGTTTGAAGGGAAATATTCTGCAAAACTCCAATTTTTCATCATT